CATTTTTTGCGCATTTAAACATCAGTTACAGGACTGATGAGCTGAATACTTGTTTGATTTTGCCTGTAATGCATAGTTATGTGAAACAGTATAAAGACTGGAACTGGAATTTTCAGCCGGAAAGTCATCTTATGTACACATGAGATAAACAGTTGGATCAGAAACACCTATGATCCAGATATAGTCGTCCTTAATTTTAAACTATTGACCAAAATAAAGGCAGACAAAATATAACATAAATCAGCTCAATGGCTTTATCCGGCTCTTTGAACAAAATAATGAATTTTCTATAAAGTACCCACAGATGAAAATGAAGAGCTTTCGGTAGCATCCATTACATCTCGAACCCCAGATCGTACAATCTGCAGCCCGGCATGTTAATTATTTGTGTTCTATTCCCATTTGCCAACTGAACGTTTATAATGAATTTACGTTTTTTTAATAAAATGTTTAATCCGTTAATCAGTTTGTAATAAGCATTGAACATATTAAGCTACGGTATATGTGCGAACTTAGAACGCTAGAAACCGGTTTTCGATACCCGTGATGGGCAGAGCACAGATAGCCCATTGAGTAGCTTTGTGCCTAAGTACAAAAAAAAGTAAGCTACACTAAATATATATATCCACAGAGTGCAACTGATCTCTTGTCTTTTTAAGACAAAATGCATCTCCAAATACAGTTTTTGTTCCAATGTTACAGACTTCCTACTTGTTACACCACTTTGTTGTAATCATGCTATAGTTACACTTTGTTTTCACTTCAACTTTATTAAGGTTGTACTGATTCCTAGCTGGAATTTACTCAAACTTATACACATAACGAATTTTGTTTTCCTTACTGGCAGTATTTCTTTCATTTTTTGCCTCTCGGCGGCTTATTCGGTCTCTCTCACATCTCCCGATCTTCCTTTTTTTTGTTCAACTTTTGTCTATTGTGTATCTTTCTCAAATTCACGCTGAATCAGTCTTTTTCTTTCTGACCTTGTACATTTATTCTGATTATAACGTTTCATAATCACAGAGGATCCTGTTGTTTCCAAACCGCTAAATAAGAGAGGTGGCGCTCCGTCTAATAATTTTTTAACGACTTAGAGTGCTGTAATCCCTTAATTGCTTAGAGACTGACCGTAAGACAACCGTTTACTCACCTCTCTCAATCCCAACCGATGTTCCTCACACCTAATTTCATAACATCCAAGAACTAAAAACGTAGTTGCAAAAAATTATGTTTATCTTTTAAGTTAAAAAACAAATGAGTGTTTCTTTTATCTCGTGCTTTTCTTTCTTTCTTCATACGAGCGTGAAAACATATGAGAAAGACTTAAAATTTATAAATGCGTTTTTTAGTAAAAATTAATATTTTCAAAAGTCTAGAGTATTCGCTCTTTAAATTGTATTTTGGTAAATGTACCAAATCTGCAGTCCGTACTTAACCACTCATTAAGACAAATCAATAAACAAAAGCACGAAGGTTACTACTTTGTTGTTTTCCATAACACAGTAACGTAATAACACATTAATAAACATAGGCAGTAGCAGCTTGAATCACTTATAAGAGAAATAGTGAAGAATACTTTAATTCTATAAAATAGGAAACTTATAAGGGTTATTATGTAAAGTAACGTTCTGATCCAACAAATAAAACACAAGTTTAATGATAAGACAATGTAAAATAATGTACTGAACCCACAAATAAAACATAAGTTCAGTCCCAAGACATCGTACAATATTGTACTGATCCAACAAATAAAGCACAAGTTTAATGATAAGACAATGTAAAATAATGTACTGAACCACCAAGTAAAACATAAGTTCAGTCCCGTACTGGTCCAACAAATAAAGCACAAGTTTAACCCTAAGATACAGTAACATAACAAACTGATTCAATAAATGAAACAGTTTCAGTCAGAAGGCAGTGAACAGTAACTTACTGATCCAACAAATAAAGCACAAGTTTAACCCTAAGATACAGTAGCACAACAAACTGATTCAATAAATGAAACAGTTTCAGTCAGAAGGCAGTGAACAGTAACTTACTGCCAAATAAAGATTCCTATATACGTCATAAACTATTAATAATGGTTAAGTAATATAATTTGATGAAAGGCGGTAACTCCAAGTTTCGATACCTAAAACAAATTCGTTTTTAAAATGTGTTCCAAGCCATGGCCTCCTAGAGAAGAACAGGTTGTCATAAACTTCTAGAATCGATTCCGAGAAGGCTAAGTGCTTGCACCAAAAACGTGAAAAACTTGGCAGTACGCGCTGTATTTTAAGGAGGAATCGTATTTATGAGAACTGTTACATACACATAAAGTATACATTGCCATCTGTTACGGCGCTGGTGGTCAGCCAAGGTCTGAATGCCAAACAATCACTGATACTGTCTATATGTTTTGTTGGTTTACGGCATTAATATTTTAATATTTATGTAAAGCAATTTACAGTTTCCATTTACACTTTACTCAAAAAAGAAACAGCGCCCTAAAACACTGTAAAAACAATTTTCTGAGTGCATTGCTAAATACGTAAGTTTACTATAACTATACATAGTCTTATGAATAAAGTTGTGATTATTTGTTGGATCCCACACAAACCAAAAAAATTTCCTGAATGTGAAAAGCACACTAGTTAACATTGAACATTTCAACAATACGCTGTTATTAGAATCATAATAAAGAACACTAGGTACCATTGAACATTTTAACAATATGCTGCTATTAGAACCACAACAGAAAAGACACTACTATGTTTTATACAGTGTTGTTAACTTAAAAATATGATCACAAATTATAAAAACCGAATTAGTACTGAAAGTTAAACTAATGATAAAAGAGTTTCGTATAAACAGTTCTCATACCAAAATTTAAACTGAACTCTTTCACATTTATAGAAAAACATTTTTAAGAAAGGTGAGATATGTCTTTTTTTTTATTCATTTCTACGAACCCTTAATGAAACACAACTTAATGCGTTTTCTGTGTTATCATACATTGATTTGGACAGATGATGTCTTAAAGATAACTTTATACTTTCTAAATAATTTTGTTTTCGTAAATCACTCATGAGCTGCGTAAGTGCAAGACAGTAAAAATCCACAAAGGTGGCCGTTTTTTTACTTTACTCCGTAATGGTCGAAAAATTAAGCATATGTTAGAAACATGCATCGGACTTGCAAGTGAGCAGACATTTCTAAATACGTTTGGTTTTTTTTCAGATAATGTACACAAAATATGTTTCTATAACAAATTACGAACCAACCAATATTCTGTAAATTTTCAATGCATTTATACCAAAGAGAAGAATTAATAGTAATTTTAACATCAAAATCAAGAAGTACATTTTTAGTAAATATATTTATATATGTATCCATCTTCTATACACAAACCAATTTTCAAAGTGCTATAATGTTCAAATGAATAACTCGAATGTAATGGAAGGTCAATAGTTAAAACAAAAACCAGGCTTTAGTAAAACGAGACAAAAATCTGAGAAGTGTGTGTGTGTGTTTTCTGGTTCTGTTTTCTAAACTTAGATTTTTGCATCAAAATCACTCGCATCTTGTCCGAATGGTACCCATAACTCTGGAGATGGAAGGAAGTCCAGAGGTGCTCAGGCTCAAAAAGTAGAGCCATATCTTGTGTTTTTCCTTTACCGCTCGATACGGCAAAGCTTGGTCTCGTGCAGTCGACGGATAGGTTGAACTAAAGCGCTTTACAACACAGCAAGTGCACATCCAAATCGATGACTTGGATGCTGCGGATGCTGGGCGAGACGGAAACTAGTGCCACGAGCAGTCGCGCATGTGCAAGATCATCATCTGTTGTTCAAAATCATGCAGGCTCTCTGTATGTAACTGTGGAAGTCATCACGACAGAAAGCAATTGTCGAGATAGTCGTGTGTGAAATTTGAGTCATATTACAAGAAGAAGTATCGTGATCAATTCTCGGACTTATCGTTAGTACTATTTTAACGGCTTGTGATTTATTTGAGGAAAGAGAGTATTTCCGATACGTGTGTGTTTAAACGATCATTCTCCACTTGTTTTAATACACTACTTTGTAAACTCTCGATAGTACTAAAGCTTCTAGTTTCTATCACCATTCAGTTGTTGATTCTGTGCAGTAAGTAAAACACGGACTTTATTTGAAGGTTTGAAATTTGTCGATTGTATCAGAAACATTAAAAAAAAAGACAAATATTACTCTTAAGTCTGCTATTTTCTCCGTTGAGTCCTTCATCCTTAAGGTACATTTACGTAGTGCTGGATTTCAGACTTACCAATAGTTGCTCAGCCTTTTCTATATTCAAATTATATAAAACTCTGCGGTGGTGTTTAGTTTTCACATTATTCAGCTGAAGAACGTGTTTCAAGTCAGACAGCACCCCAGACAACAACACCTTATAAGAAAAGTAAGTATAAATACCGATTCCCATTGTTGTTAAGACTGTGTTTCTCTGTTGAATAAATTAACATAATGACAATGTGGTAACTAATTCGAAGATAACTTGTATTAATTTTTGCCTCTGTTATTATTATTTTTTTTTATGGGATTTGCCGATCTTCTAATTATCATCACAAAATCCTTGATATTTTTCGGTAAAACATCTATGACCAGATAGTCTTTTTTGTTCAATTTTAAGCTGATGCATAATGCCATATTACCATGGCAATTCTAACCAAGTATAAAACTCGCGGAAGACACAGCGCAGATAGCTCATGCGCTAAAACAATACTAACAAACAAACAAATGTAATCCCCTAAAGATTTTGTTAGTATTTCACTAAAATATGAGAATTATTAATGAGTACCTTATATTGTAAGGCTCTTTGGCAGATTTTACTTTTCTTTTGTACACTATTCATAAAGAAAAGGGTCGACTCAACTGTATTCTCTTAGGAGATATATCTTCCTGATATACTTGAGCTTATTTTGCTTGTAAAGCACATTCTAATCTATAATGGTTCAAATATTTAACATTTATATATTTAAATAATATATTATAATATTTTAAAGTAAGCTGTAAGAAATATGCCCCAAATAATTTTTATATATTTTTCTTATTGGCTTTGCTTCTAATAAAATAGAAGGAAAAAATTTTAATTTTTACCAAACATAAATTTATGCAACAGCATTCCAGAACAATGTTTGATTCACTACTGTAGTTTCGATACCTACGAAATAAATGGCCCTCCAGTGGCACAACGACGCTAAAAATCGGGCATCGATACCATAATGGGTAGATAGCCCATTGTGTAGCTTTGTGCTTTACAAAAACCAAACAAAAAAAGTAACTGAATAGATAACATTGCTTTTCATTTTTAATTTAATTGATTTAAGTGTTTTAATTTTTGCTGCTTAAATCCTGTACAATAAAAATAGCCCTTGTTCAACTTATGTTTGTGATTCAATTACTGATTATTGGTTTTTGTAAGGAATGTGTTACAGTACAAAAATCATGTATGTTTTCTACAATATATGGAAAACATAAGTACATATAAAATATATTTTCATAGCGTTTGTATATTTTAGTACAATCTAGGCCTAGGTTAATTGACTGAAACTAGAATTGTGAACTGTTGTGTATATAATTTCTTGTTAGATTTAAACCATTTTGTTTAATTTTTATTGAGTATTTCAATATCATACTGCATTTATTTCTATTACTGTCCAATATATTTAGTTATAATTTTGATTTGGAAAAATAAAAACATTCAAATTTTCAGGCATAGTTTTTACCTGAAAAACACAGCCATCATCAGTTAAGATACAAGTCAGGTGCGTATTCAACGTTCGTCTGCAAAGTTACCAAGATTACAAAGCTTAAAGCGCCTGTTTAAATCTTGTATGATCAAGTGTATACCAGAATACTGATGTTAAATTATTAAACAAATTTACAAAAAACGTCAAAAGGTTTCTCAATGTTCCGAGCAGCGCTTCTTTAATTGGGTAACATCCATTCCATAGTAATGTACTTTAACTTACTGGAATATTACATAATGTTAACCTACAAAGATGCCTTTAATTAAAATGAATTAGAATCGGATAGCCTTTTAGCGGGTACGTGGAAGCTAATAAAAATTTTGTAAACTGTAGTGTTTGTCCTGAAATCTTACCAAAAGATTCGACTTGCTATACGAGGTTGATAAGAAGTCGGTAAGAATGGTGTAGGTAGTAAAATTTTTTTGAATCAACAGAGGATAGTAGACCGAATAAAAGGGCCGACATGGAAGCTGGTAGTAATGTTGTAGGCCTTAGTATTTGTCATAGAAACTCAACTAGAGAATCTGTCGGTTATAAACGATAACACAGAGGTCGGAATAATCATATCAGCTGTAATATTTATCATAGAATCTCAGCTAGAGAATCTGTTGGTTATAAAAGGTATCACAGAGGTTGGAAAAAATGGTTTCAGCTATAATATTTATCATTGAATCTCAACAAGAGAATATGTCAACTAGAAAGGGTAACACAGAGGCCAGTAATAATCATATCAGCTGTAATATTTGTTATGGAATCACAACAAGAGAATCTGTAGGCTATAGGGTAACACGAATGGTGATAATAATGATATCAACTGTAATATTTGTCATAGAATCACAATAGAATCTGTTGGGTTATAAAGGGCAACACAGAGGGTCATAATAATTATGTCAACTGTAATATTTGTCATTGAATCTCAACAAGAGAATATGTCGATTA